ATTGTGCAAAACCAAGAAATCCAGGAGTTTATACTAATGTGGCTATGTTTTTTGACTGGTATTCAAGTGTTTTGTAAACTTTCGTTTTCATGAAAGCATTTAGCAATTTTAATATAATAAATAACCTGTCTATCTTTAAGGTAACTTTAAATAAGGTTTGAATCAATCAGAAGTTGTCTGGTTTACCATAAGTAATTGTCCAATAATCAGTCTAACTTACAAAAGTTTCTGTTTCTTTTGTCATATATGTTAAAGGTTGTTATTACGTAATAGTGATATTTGCCCATATGATTATTTGAAAGTATCCACACAACAGTAAAATATAAAGTCTATAATTAAACTTACCTGATATTGATATAAATGAATAAAATGACAATTTTAATGGTGTAGTTATCAATCAGACCAATATTTTATTACATTGATGGTTTGAATTGTTTTTTCTGGTCAGCGTTTTTTTAGCGAGTTAGTTTCCTGCGGGACTGGGTCACTAATCCCATACCCAACCCTCCAACTTTCTTGTGTTTGGGACCGACAGTAATTCTAAAAGAGCTACAGGCGGAGTTTATTACATTGATAGTCTGTACTAATAAAATTTTATCGAATTACTAGTGAACAATACTGATTGAAACGCACTTTAGATTTGTTTATATCCTTACTCAAAATCGCTATTTACTTATAAGTACTACTATTACCACTACCCCTACTACTACTACTACTGTAGTGATCAGAATACCAGTGGGGACAATCGAATGTATTTTACACTAAATTACAGAGCATCTCAATAAAATCTGAGACCCATATAGTAAATCGTTCATTTGCAAAATATCAATCCATCATCTCATACTTCACTGTTCTTGTTGCAAACATCAATCCATTGTCTCAGATTTCATTGTTCATACGTTTTCATAGCAGTCTGCGTTGCGTTCCCGTTCTTTCCACATCGACTTTCTACTGAAATGCATTCTATGCTTGACCACTGTCATATACTACTTGTGTGGATATAAGTAACCCACCCCACACTACCATGCCAGTAGGGTAGGTTAAAGACCGATAAGACTAATAGCACTAATCGTATTGTTGATTGATGATTTGTAATAAGGTTTCATTAAATTAAGTTATTTCTCTTCGAAAATCAACATCTCCACCAATTATGCACATCCATAACTGAAGTAATGAGTTTAAAACAGCCAGATCTTAAAACTCTGAAACAATTTTCTGCCTCAACGGTTGTAAATTCTCCTAGAACAGCTCTAATATTACAAAGTTAATACATCAAAAAGCTACACACAGAAAAGTCATCATTGACTGGGTATTTAGGTGATACTGTGCATTTTGTTGACATTTCGTAATCCTTCAATATTATTAGCAAAAAAAATTACTCAGAATCACCTAGGTTTGACAAAGTATAAGCGATTAAAATATCAAGCCAGATTTATGTGTCCAAAAGAGACGGTAATTAATTCTTTATCACATTGGTAAGTCCATCATTTTGCTTATATTTACCTGCCACCATTACTATTGTTATTACTATTTTGTAGTCAGTATAGGGGTGTGGATACTGTTGAAAGCCATTGAAATCATTAACCGAACCATTTTAGATCTCCATTAAAAACCTAGAAGCACCGAGAGGCCGTTTCCTCCAGATGTTGGACTTTAAAGCATTGCTCACCCAAAATCCGACATGCTGGAACCAAACCCATCACCTTTAGACTTGTGTGTCAACGTACAACATCTAGACCACCGAACTGCGATCCAATGTTGCACAGCTCCGATAATCTTCAATTGTTTTTGGTGAGTAATTGTCTCACATTCGTCATGGTTTAGCTCCACTGGTCATGACAGTTAGAGCAGTTGCCTACCAAAGACAATGCAAGATTGTCACGCAATACCGTGGATTGATTAAAGTTAGACATTAACACTGTTAGGTGCCGGCTCAGGTGTCTATATTTCAGACAACGGTGTACAAGACTGAAGGTGTTAGGTTCGATTCCTGAGTGAGTGATATTGGATGCACACTACTGTAGAGTCACTTACTAGGACGAAACGGCCGTACAGTGCTTCTTTGTTTTTTGATAATGACCCAAATCAGATCGGTTCAAGATTTTAACGATTGTATCTTATAATTTTGCTTAGTTTATTGTGCAAACTTCAATAAACTAAATGTCATTTCAAGTACATTTAAATCAGTCATTCTTCCTTTTGTTTTTGATTCATCCGATTCTCTAAAACTATATAAACTCCTCAAGTCTGGCATAATTATTACGTAGGCCATTTGATTAATTTCATATTTGAATAATTATCACTTCATGACTCTTTATCTTCTATTTACCGAGTGAACTGAAACTTATGTAAACTCATCAAATCTCACATAATTATCACAAAATCCATCTTACCAGTTTTCAGACTCTATATGATTACCACTTCATTATTGATAATGTTTATCATTTTAGTTCTATCCATCATTAATGTTGATTACCTCATACTCTATCATATCCCAATGTTACATTTCAATACATATATGGCTGTTATTCTGCCTCAATTATTGTTCTGGCTTTATTCAACTTCGCAAAGACAACTAACTGTAAGAAATGAAGAGGGTTATTTATTTACACTGATTTAAACTATTATTAAAAATATATATTATAGGGCATTATTTTATCAAAATGATTATGAAAATTCTTCCCTGAATGAGCTGATTATGATGGTGTTTTCATTGTGCACGACCAAATCATCTAGCTCACAGAACAAAACTCCATCAAAATCATCCACCTGAGTTACAACTCTTCTGGACCATCTCATAAGCTGAATATGATTTTTATTCAATGAAAATGTTTAGTTTACATTAAATGACTATTTCTTGATAATATTTGGTGACCATATACATCCAGTTTTGTTGCATCGAACTAAGATTAAAATACTTTGATAAATAATTGAATAGATGAATATCAGAACAGTTTTGATTGATTAAAAGAATATGTCGTTTATTATTATTAGTTTTAATGAAGATAATATCTCTCTTAAACAGTTATTATTCAAAATATTTTATCAATAAAATATTATTTTAATAGTTGAATTCGTGAATCGATTGAAGCTAGACCACCATGGAAAACCTGGGAACACTGGACGGTCGTTTCGACTCTTCAGCAACGCGCATCCAAGATTCCGCCTCACGGGTTTCAAACACACAACCTTCGGTCTCGCACGCGAATGCTTAACCTTTAGACCATTGAACCGGTATCCATTTGGTTATAAATACAGTATTCCATATACATTTTTTTATCTCAGAGTTCTTTAAGTAATGAAGGGATAACAGAAACATCAGTTTATTTTTGTAAACAAATACGACCAACGGTAACTAGTTAAAATCACTTAACATAATCTTTCGTTGTTCAAATTGTTTCAGTTAAAGTTTTCATTGCAAGGTGAACTCAAAACAACTTCAGTAGTTTGAATATGTGCTCATATTTTAATTCTTTAACTAAAAGAAAACAATTACACTTTTGTTAGATAGATGTAAGAAGTCATAGAATTGTAGTATGGAACCTTGTTTAGCATAAATATTGTGCAATAATCTTAGATAAGTGATCGATAATAGTTGTTTTATATGGAAATCAAAACAACTGTCAACCTATATCAAAGTGAGAATCTTCAATACCATCATCAGCACAGTCCTACTGTATGGAGCTGAAACTTTGAGAACTATCACGAACTTCATCAAAAACGCACAAATATTTATAAACAATTGTCTACAAAATATACCATATGCAACAGCCTACTGTGGATTAGGACAAACCAGCTTCCAACTGACAAAAAAATTGGAAGTGGATTAGATACATATTGGGGAAATCATCAAATTGCATCACGATGACAATGTCAACTTGAAATCTTGAATGGAAACAAAAAAGTGGAAGGTCAAAGAAAACACTGCGTCAAGAATAGAAAGCAAACATGAAAAAGATGAATAGAAATTGGAAAGAATTGTAAACGATTACCGAGGACAGAGTTTATCATTTAAAAAAGAACTATACACTGAAAAGAAAGAAATTATGGTATTTTGTAATATTTTGTTCCCAAGTATTCTTCATTACAACTGAATATGATTAATATGACATAATTTCAACAGTTGAGATCACGAGTCAATTGAAGCTAGACCAACATGGAAAACCTGGAAGTACTGGACGGCCGTTTCGTCCTATTGTAGGACTCCTCAGCAGTGCGCATCCACGACCCGGCCCTGCGGAATTCGAGCCCAGGACCTATCAGTCTCGTGCCAGGTGCCAATCAACATATGCTCACTAGTCACTAGCTTCAAGAGATATATCCTGGAGTTCTAGTGAGAAGCAGTGACTAGTGGAGTTCAACCGGGTCAGTTGTGAGGTAGTAACTCACTGATGACAGTGGTGGATATGTGGCTCAATTTCGTGGATTGGTTGAAGTTAGACATTAACACCGTTGGATGCCGGCCAGCACAGTGGTCTAGTTGGTTAAGCTTTCGCGTGCGAGATTGATAGGTCCTGGGTTCGAATCCCTCGTGACGCGATCGTGGATGGGCACTGCTGAGGAGTCACACAATAGAACGGAACGGCTTTCCAGTGCTTCCAGGTTTTCCATGTTGGTCTAGCTTCAATTGACTCATGATCTCGACTGTTGAAGTTACTACAATCTCCACAAAACTCCTACTGATAGTAATATGACATACTTAATAATTTATGACTATTTTGTTTTTGTAAAAAAATTGAATAAAATCTAATCTTATATGATTGAAGTGAAATACTCCATATCCTGAATTAATAATCTAGACAATACAAATGGTTTAAGGGAGTTAATTATATTTCAATTAATAAGCAACCAATTAAAAAATAAACAAATCAAATATCCCATTTAAATTATACAAATAATTGCTATAATCTGATTGGCTATTTATTAACCAATGAATTATTTCTATTTTGTTTAAATTCAGTTGAATATTAGTTTAATTGTTATGATGAGAAAAATATTACCTTGGATACAATAATTTACAAATTTACATTATCCTATTCATACATCAAAAGTATTTCATTATGTAATCATGTTTCTACTATTAATTATTCTGTAAAATAAAAATTAAAGAAACAAACAAACATTTTTTTTAAAAATGCGATAAACTTAGACGAGTTCAGTGGAATATGATTACGTAATGAGATTATTTTTTTTCATTGTGATTATTAATATGATATTTACTATTAAAAGTAATCAACTTTCTGATCCAAGTAAGTCTATGTAAACATGTAAAAATGTTTAAATATTCAAGAGGATGTATTAATATTATTAGTATGTTTATTTAGTAAAGTTTGATCTTGTTACTGACCAGAGACTGTTCAGTTTTCAACAACAAAAAGTTTTATAGGTATTGATAGATGATGTCTAACAGTTGAGTATAAGACACGCGTTTTGTCATATTCGGGACTCATCAATTACATGTACTTGCATCCCAGAGTTGATGTACACTTCATGGCTCAAACCTAGTACCATTCGTTTCAAACACCATTGCGTTGTCTATTTAACTACTTAGTCCTAATGGCTAGTAGTTTGTGCAATGGGATGGAATTTTAATTCACTTTCGCATTATGTGTTTGAATTTTCTCTTTGATGTTTAGAATTGTAATCGATTTTGATTGTGCACTTTTGTCAATAAGAGATTAATTAATCTTAGTCCTAAACATCAATAGGAAAATTTGAACAAACAATACAATAATGAAGAAAGTATTCTATTTTTATGATTTGTTCTAGTTTACTTTAGATATTTGATTATGATGTTAATATATCCATATGTTTTTATGACAAGCTTATAACTTATTAAGATGCTGTGGTGGACCAAAAAGTAAATTAACCGAAAAACATCAATAAAGTTATTACGTCCAAAAGTTAATGTGGCAATAAACAACACATAAGATAATAACACAAATAAAAGTTTAGGGACGTTACTTAAACTTGCAGGTTGGTGCGTGTCTTGTTGGTTTTCGTACCAGAATCCACAATTATAGGTAAATAATAATTTCAATGAGACGATATGGCTGCAGTAGTATATCCGAACGTAGAAGGTAATTTGAAGGTTACAACATTCTATAAATATAAATGATAGTTAATTAATCGTTCCGTTATCATATCCACAAACATGATAGAACGAGAGACATATGTATAAAATTGTATTTAATTATGAGCAGTTAACAATGTCATGCTATATGGGATTCGAAAATGGAAGGAAGAATGTAAGTATTCAAGGTCATATACTTAAACAACAAGTGCAGTCGATTAATGATAAATGTACAGATTGTGAGAATTGGCAAAATAAATGCAAAAAATATCAAAAACTATTTACAAAATAGGTTTATTACATCTATCTCCACAATGCTAATAAATGAGAAGAAACCAAGAGAAGAGCGCATAGTAATCAATGTATCTTATTCCGTACCCCTTCAATGGGGAGACTAAAAGTTGTCAGATTGTAATTCATACCTGAAGGAGTTTAGAAATCTATGGTTGTTTGAAACATTTGTTGATACTTCCAAATATGCTAAATAAATGTTGAAGTGGAATGTATTATACAATTTTCTATTTTATACTGCAAACGCCTACTTATAATCAAGTATATACTTGAGACTATTAAACATAATAGAGAGTAGTTAGAAAATTATAGAAAAATGTTTTCATTCATTTGAAAGTTATTCATCTATTTGGAAATGATGTGAATTACCTGACAAGTATGGAATCATGTATCCTCCTTTGATGTATATTGTTTGTTTGAGAACTAGAGATATTAATGAGCTAATGAAACTGGGATTTAAACCTTGAACCAACTAGTTCACAGTCAAGTTTTATAATAGCTAAACCAACAACCTACAACTTATATCTTTTATGCCTTAAAAATGAATTGCAACTATTGAATGTTTTAATCTTCTGTGTTATAATGGGGCATACATAAATTTATCAGTTTAGTGCTTCATGGATTAAAAATTAGTGAAACACAGTTAAGTCATCATATAATCGACATTCTGTTTGTCTGTGCCTGTGATAATAAGAGATACAATGCAGTTTGTTATTGTGAATACTCCCCTAGATATTTGATCGCTCTATCAGTACAGTAGATTAATAAATTAAATGTCATCATCTTTGTAGCAACGCCTATAACTGAGACATGGGGTGTTTTTAATTTGTATTCTACAGAAAGCATTAATTCTCACCGGACTACAGATATTCCTTACTGACAAGTAGCAACTAATATGAACCTTGGGTTCAGTGCTTCCTTATTATGACCTCCCCTTGCATAACTTCATATTACTTAGTATGATAACACAGTGACAATAGATAAGGTCGTTTGTTACTCAGGATTTTTCATAACTATTCACATCTATATTTCTATTGATTCTTTAGTTGCATTCCTTTTTTTTTGAATAGAACAAATTTCTCTAATGAATTCATCTCAAAGCGAAACCCAATATTGAAAGTTTTCTTTAGGATGCATTTTCCCGCAACCATTAGATGTAGTATCTACAATACAGTATATTCAATAAACATGATAGACTGTTACAAGTTCATAAGTCATTGAGACTACTAATAACATAATATCAACAGTTTACTACATGAAAATACGTTTTATTAAAAATCGATAATTTGCTATGCCCAATTCTTTCTTCAAAAATTCAATTATCTTTTTTGTAGCAAAAAACAGGATGATTAATTACTTTAAGTCTATTTTTTTTATCCAAAGAATAAGGCATTCAGTTTCCGAAAATTGATCATTGGGATATAGATGATAAACTATAGTTTTACTTGATTAGACAGTATGCTGTTAGATTATAATTAACATATCTACCATATTATATAACTTGATAATTCTATAATTACTCCATATAAAAGATACTTTGAAAACAAAGCTAAATGATTATTTTATTTCATTTCAGTCACATCTCCAAGTCATTAATTGCGATATGATTTTAGCAATAATAACTAAATCATTTGAATTACTCTGTATAGTTTATACTAAAGGTATGAGCAGAATGAAAGAACATGAATATGTTAGTGCATTATCAAGCTATATAAGTTTTATTGTTTATAAAAATAATAAGCTGTTGACCGTGTTATGTTCTCTGAACTAGACTGATTGACCGTGAATTTTTCTAACCGTTTTGAACTATAGCATCAGCCTTACCCTATCTCATTTACGAGTGAAATGTTTGTTATGTTTTAACACACAAATATTTTTTCCAGATGGTGTAAAATCACTTCATACATAAGTACAGAGAAAAAATTACGAAGAGTAATATTCTTTCTGAATGATGACTACTGCAGTATACATCAAATAGGTTCGACTTATGGTTACTAATTTATATACAGTACAATTTCCAGTAACTAAGACGTTTAAATTAAATGTAAACTTAATAATTAAGGTAACCAGTGGCAATGTCTGTCATTTAACCAGTCTATGTGTTGTGCCGGAAAAAAAGAAAAAAAATGCTGATCACTTATACTCGGAACGAGAGACCTCGGCAATTCCCACGATGTGAAGGTAAGAAAACAAGACTGGTATAAGTGAAGATTTATTAGCCCAAAAACATTATGACGACGACGAATCGAATCTAGTCTAAAATACACTGGTTTATATATTGATTGTACACCCATTTTCATTAATAATTAGGATTACATCACATACTCAGTTATTACAAATCACTTACTAAGCATAGTTCATGTCAAGTGAATGCAAGAATATCGTATATTATACAGAAGAAAATATCATACTGGGAAAACAAATCACCTACTACACTGAATGATCCTCATGTTGAATCAAAACGGATGTAATATTGAATAAAACTCATAATGAGTAATTCAATCGAACATTGACTTTTCTTTCCATCATATCAAGCCATAATTAATCTACTGGGTATAACTCGGGTCTTAACACTATATAAACATGTATCTATGTTTAACATAGAATCCTAATAAATAAACATATATAACATTCAAGCTTTATCGAATTTTTCTGACAGTTTTTGCTACTTGAAAAAATGCCTTCAAGTAGGTGATTTTCTCTACCGATTAAGTAAAATTGTAAACATGAAATTGACTTCTGTTACAGAATAATCTGTATATTGTTGATTTCATCACATGACTGAGATATTCCTTTGGAAAATAATTAGTTTTGTACGGGATCTGATTGCCTTAATTAGGTTTGGTTTACTTTTTGAGTTTACACAAAGAAAATTTATCCCATTGCCTTATACCTCGAAAGCTGCACTTTTCACTGAACTAGTTCATGAGGTTACATTATAGAATATCATGTTATTTTATTTCATTAAAAACAGCATTACATATATTGTAAATAATTTACAAGTATTGTAGTGAAGGAGAACATAGTTGAGGACAAGCCATTAAATTTATCACAAACTTACAGATTTACTTGGTAAAATAGAAAAATTCTACTCCAATACATCATTTGTAAAATGTTCATTAATTATCTCAAAATTCATTGTTCTTGCATTTTCGTACCAATTACTTTCTGTTCCCATTCTTCCCTCCTCAATCTTCTCGACATGAGTAGCACACACCACAATATCTTTTTCCTATATTAACTAACTTATTTTCATACTTCATGTGATATCCCGATGAGAATAATGAAGGGTAACCGTTGAAATCTATTTCTGGACAAATACTATACGTATATTTTATTGTATAATTGTTAAGTAGCTAAACTATTCACATTCGTGTTTCTCTTATTATGAGGATTATTTTGACCTATGAATTATTATTTTACGATTTGCCATTCTTGAATTCTGCCAAGTCCATTAATTACAGTCTACCACATTCACAGCCACTTTTGGTTAGATCTTGTACAAATGTTATTTTCTATTTCATAGTACGATGTGGTCCGTTTGATTTGTATATAAACCCAGTATGTTTTAAATATATGATTCATATCACAGAGGCTGAAATTGATATTCTGAACTTAACAGGCAAGCCTAGGCATGAAGAAGGACGGATAAAGACTCTAGACTACTCGTACAATTTTACGCGTTGTTGGTCCGGTCGATAAATCACTGTTTTCTAATTGACAATATCACTACGTTATAAACTAATAAGGCATAAGGTCAAAAGTTCTAACAATTCATAAGTATACTGTTTTCATTTTCATTAAAACCCAGGACCTATCAGTCTCACGCCAGGCGCTTAACCAACTAGACCACTGTGCTGGCCAGCATCCAACGGTGTTAATGTC